AAAGGATATGATAGCTTTGGGAAAAGTGCAGAAAAGGGCAACTCAAATGATAAAAGGGTTGGAACACTTTCCCTATGAGGAAAGGTTAAGGCGCTTAGGGCTCTTTAGCTTGGAGAAACGAAGACTGAAGGGTGACATGATCGAGGTTTATAAGATTATGCATGGGAAAGAGCAGGTAGAGAAAGAGGTACTTTTCTCCCTTTCTCACAATACAAGAACTCGTGGGGACTCCATGAAATTGCTGAGCAGTCGGGTTAGAACGGATAGAGTGATGAACACATGGAATTCACTGTCACAGGAAGTGGTGGCGGCTACAAGCATGGACGGCTTCAAGAGGGAATTAGATAAGCATATGGAGCAGAGGTCCATCAGGGGCTATTAGCCACAAGGTATAGATAGGGGCTCTGGGGCAAGGGATGCTCTGTCTTCTTGGTGCTTGGGGGGGGAGGTCAACAGTGGGAGGGCTTCTAGTGTCCTGGCCCCACTGCTGGACCTCCTGATGGCCCCTGGTATTTTTGGCCACTATGTGACAGAGTGTTGGACTGGATGGGCCTTTGGCCTGATCCAACATTGGCGTCTCTTATGTTCTTATGCCCACGATTCTAAAGGCTGCAGGCAATCTCTGTTTCCACTCACCAAGGTGCAGAGTTCCTGGGAACTCAAGGTAATCACTCTGGCCGTAGCTGTTGACTGCTGATACTCGGAAATGGTAGTCAGACTCTTCGAGAAGGTTGCTCACTGTGAATTCTGTTGCCGTGATGAGAGATTCGTGGCACCTCTGCCACGTGAACCCCGTCAGCTTCTTGCGTTCCACCAAGTATCCATCAATGGGGATGGGGTGTTCCATCTTAGGAAGGGACCAGGCTAATGTCACTGAGGTTTCTGTTTTATTTTTCACCACTGGGTCAATGGGGGGTTGAGATGGAGGCTTCTTTGGAGCTGTGTTGTATGAAAAAAGAGGAATGCTGAAAATTGCATGGACCACTGTACATTTGACGTACTTGTTTATAAGAATTCATACCCTGAGCTGGATTCGCACCTGGAGTTTATCACCTGGTCTCTTTCGCCAAGCAGAAATTCAAAGCAGGTAGTATAAAAAAATAATATTCACACATATGCTAATCATAAAATGCCTTAAAACTCTGCAAAAGAAACGCTAATCCCTTTAAGTCATAAATAGATCCACGCACAAGAGGAATGGAAAGGAGTCCTCACTCAGCATTGTCATCATAAATACATCCACATACAAGAGGAATAGAAAGGAGCAGGGCTATTTTGGGGCAGGAACGCACAGGAACGGAGTTCCGGCTGGCTCCCAAGTTGGCCACGCCCAGCAGGAACTCATTAGCATAATAGGCCACACCCAACAGCAGAAACTCATTAGGATTGGCTACATTAGGGGTGTGTGGCCTAACATGCAAAGGAGTTCCTGCTACAAAAAAGGCCCTGGGTTTTGACAACAAACAAGGTAAACAGAATAACAAGCAAAAGGTGGGTGTGGCTGGATAACCACACTTCTGATAGCATGGGGGTGTGGTCTAATGTGCTAATGAGCTGTGCTGTCAGGTGTGTGGCCCAATATGCTAATGAGTTTCTGCTGTTGAGTGTGGCCTATTATGCTAATGAGTTCCTGCTGGGCTTTTTCTACAAAAAGAGCCCTGGAGTCCTCACTCAGCATTGTCATTATAAATACATCCACGTACAAAAGGAATAGAAAGGAGTCCTCACTCAGCATTGTCATCATAAATACATCCACGTACAAGAGGAATAGAAAGGAGTCCTCACTCAGCATTGTCATCATAAATACATTCACATACAAGAGGAATAAAAAGGAGTCCTCACTCAGCATTGTCACCATCTGCATATATGGCTAGAATTGTGTTTTGCTTGGAAATATTCAGCCTTGACCTGGAAGGGCCAGACTAGCCGAATCCCATCAGCTCTCAGAAGCTAAGCGGGGTCAGCCCTGGTCAGTACTTCGATGGGAGACCAGGAAGGAAGTCCAGGGTCGCAACGCAGAGGCAGGCAAGGGCAAACCAGCTCTGAACGTCTCTTGCCTTGAAAACCCTACAGGGTCACCCTGTAAGTCGGCTGCAGCTTGAAGGTACTTCACACACACACAACGTGCAGGAAATACTTCTCGCACTCATGACTGAAAATGCTATTTGTACACTTAACGGTAAGAGCCCACTAAAGATTAGCATCTTAAGCAGGGCTCATTTCGTAGAAAAAGGGGTGGAGGAGCTCATTAGCATAACTCATTAGCATAACTTATTTGCATATGCCACACCCCCTGGCATCACCGGAAGTGTGTCAGAAGGCAACGCCCACCGCTCAGGCTCCACTGGACTGTTTTGGATTGCTAGCTATGGGGGGGGGACTTGCAGAACTGTCCTCGCAGAGGAGGGAGAGCTTGTACCTGAACAAAACTTGGTCTTAAAGGTGCCACTGGACTGTTTTGGATTGCTAGCTCTGGGGGTCTCTGCAACTTGCCTGGCTGCTTCTTGCTCTGACTGAGGGTTTCTGGGAGCAGGGGGTGGGGCTTGTTGCATGTGCCCGCCCCCTGGGCTCTTTGCTGCCGGAGCTCCACTCCTGTGCGCTCCTGCAGGAAATGACCCCTGATCTTAAGCCCCTTCATTTCAACGGGAGACTAAAGAATATGCTTAAATATCCCAAGAGAACATTTGAAAATGTGTGCTTTGCACACGAAAGCTCATACTTTAAAGAAACCATCTGAACGTCTCTTGCCTTGAAAACCCTACAGGGTCACCCTGTAAGTCGGCTGCAGCTTGAAGGTACTTCACACACACACAACGTGCAGGAAATACTTCTCGCACTCATGACTGAAAATGCTATTTGTACACTTAACGGTAAGAATTCAGTGGAAGTCCCATTTCCCACCCACCCCCCACCCCAGTTGTATATAAAACAAGACAAAACCCAAATCTGGATAAATGTATAAAACAGGATCAAAAGGAGAAAAACAACACAGAAAGCAGAATGTAAAATCTGCATGCATTTTCCCCCTTTAAATTATCATGCTGTTAAATTCCTTTTATTATTTTAGAGGACACAATTAAAAGTTTTACATCTGGAGCTAATAACTGAATTCGAGAGCTTGTACCTGAATAAAACTTGGTCTTAAAGGTGCCACTGGACTGTTTTGGACTGGAGGGCCGGGGGGAGCTCTGCAACTTGCCTGGCTGCTTCTTGCTCTGACTGAGGGTTTCTGGGAGCAGGGGGTGGGGCTTGTTGCATGTGCCCGCCCCCTGGGCTCTTTGCTGCCGGAGCTCCACTCCTGTGCGCTCCTGCAGGAAATGACCCCTGATCTTAAGCCCCTTCATTTCAACGGGAGACTAAAGAATATGCTTAAATATCCCAAGAGAACATTTGAAAATGTGTGCTTTGCACACGAAAGCTCATACTTTAAAGAAACCATGGTTGGCCTTAAAGGTGCCCCTGGACTCTAAATTTGTTCTACAGCTTCAGACCAACACAGCTGACCACCTGGATCGATCTTAAATATCCCAAAACTGCAACGCAGATGTTTGACATCACCTGGATCAGGTCCTTAGATATTTGGGATCCTGCATTTTAAACATTCAGTGGAAGTCCCATTTCCCACACACCCCCACCCCCAGTTGTATATAAAACAAGACAAAACCCCGAGGGCTCCCAGATAATCAGATGGAAAAAGCCACCTTGGAAAGTGACGTTTCAAGCAGCGCGTTGGCCTTATGAACAAAAGCCACATCTCCTAACAGCTTCCCTAACACTCAAGCTATTCCATTCAGTGGGGAAGTCCGCTCCCCCTTGGAACTGAGATCGCCAATATTAATCACAGGACCTGGGTCGCTTGCTTGCAATGCAGATTCCAAAGCGGCAATCCATCATCACAGCTCCCTGTATCAGTACCCTCCTCCCCACAGCTCCCTACATCAGTACCCTCCTCCCTCCTCCCCAGAATGTAGGTAGCGCCTTCTAAAATGACCTCCTGACAGTCACAGGTGGTTTCCTATTTCATTTCACACCCACTGTGATTCGGGAGCCAACCACGGGCAGTTGTTTAGCTGCAGATGAACAGTTCGTTCCCTGGCTGACCGACAGCGTTGAGGAAGAAAGATTTAGAATCAGTCATGGAGTTGGAAGGGACCTCCAGGGTCATCTAGTCCAACCCCCTGCACAATGCAGGAAATTCACAAATACCTCTCCCCCACACTCCCAGTGACCCCTGTTCCATGCCCAGAAGACG